ATTGTTTGCAACAAGAATATTCACAATTTTTAAGAGATGGACATAGATTTTGTCCAGATCTTTACTCTGAGGTGCAATGCATATATGATTAATGAAAGCTTATACTTGATGTTTGATTTTGACCTATTAGGGCTAAACCTGACCTGTCAAGGCAAAACCTCATCGATGGAATAAAGCCAGAACTTCTAATATTGAGTTTGTCTGTTTGTTTTTATCTAGCCTCATTGAATTGGTTTTCAACTACTGCAGTGATTTAAAAAAACAAAAAGACTCCAACTCCTGATATTTTTCAAGTTAAACAGTAAAAAAGGGTACATTTACATGCACACAGTGCTCTACTATTTTGAGTCACCAGTTAAGGTCTAGCCTTTAGACTATTAAATGAGATATTCATTTTCTCCCCTACAGCAACAAAATTCATATATTCCTGTTCCAGAGCTTGGGTAGTTTACCCACAGGGCTGTGAATACATTTTCGCCCTCCATCAGCATCACTCGCTTCCGCGATGTCACTGTTGCATACAGCACTTTGATTTATGTCATTCCCCCTGTGGCTGCTTTGACATATTCATGGAAGCTAATCAGATGATGCTTCCATCTTTACACAGTTTAAGAAACTGAAATTTTACGGTATAATTAAGCAAATTACAAAAAAATTAATTTCACTATGAATGCCACTAGAAGAAACTTTTTTAAAATGTGATAGTAATGGTATAAACTAAGCATGAAATGCTTTTAATTACCATAGCTGGTTTTGCTAACTGTTAGCTAGCAAAGCAGCTAGCTGAAAAGGCTGCTTAGGATTTTCAAAGTGAAGTTAGCCAGCTCGCTATGTAGCGCCTCTAAAATGCAGTGAATAAATTTGTTATATTTTCAAAATCTTTTACTTCACTACAGTTTAGTTACTCTTTATTCAGTGGCAGTTTACGTAGTGCTGGCTTGACTGAAAATAATTCAAAATGTTTGACTGCAAGCATACAGCTAATTTAACATGGTCCGTTTTTAGGAACATATTGTACCCAGGGCACACAGACCTCAAGTACGTTTGAGCTAGTTCTGGCTTTGATTAATGATTGTTTAAGGGAGTCAACAACATTTCAAGAAAAATCCTAAACAGGTCACTGAGTCTCCAAATATATTGGGTATTATCCAAGTAGCTGGGGGAAAAAAAGCTTCACCAGGGAAAATCAAATAATATACAAGCATGGGCTGTTCACACACCGAAATTAAGCTTTAAGTGTTTTTAGCCTGATGGATGGACATGTTAAGCAGCACTTTCCTCTTACTCCTTCACAAAACCAATTAATAACCAGCTTGCCACGATTTTTAAAATGGTTTTTTGAAAACTGTGTAACTCTAAAACACAAACAACACTCAAACATGCCCTCTTGGCGTGGAGAGGGGTCAGGACCTCTGTTTTTTCTTTTTCCCCAACCGGGCTGTCTGATTAGATTTTATTCATGCGATGCACCGGCCATTTGTCATTCTCTGATTAAGGGCAATGGTCTGCGCACGAACTTTGAATTAAGATCATCAACTGGAGCCTGCTTCCTGTCACCGCAGAGCTTAGGGTGGTCGGACGCCGGCTTGGCGCCGTGGGGGATTCAGTACCTGTCAAGTCTGCGCTCAGGACGGTGATTCGCAGTGACGGATGGGCCGCTGCTTGCGGAGAGCGGAGCGTCGCAAAAATACTCGTCAAGACTTTTGTTATTGGAGTGCCGGCTGTCAGTCCGCGCGGACAAACGGCGGTGACATTTCCCAAACCCGACAGCCAAAACCAAGAATCCGACAGAACTGTCAAACGCGGTCGGAAATACGTCTCTTTTTATTCCCCCCCGGCCGGAGAAGCGCGAATTTGTCAGGCTCCAGATTGTACTTTAAGCACTAAAATGGGAGTATTTTGTGAGAAAAAAAAGGAAGCGCATGCCAACTCGGGCTCACAACCTCAGAAGATCTATTTCCTGAAGTTGATCCCAACCAAGTCGTGTAGGCCCGAGGAGGGTACCTTAGTCCACCAAAGGTTTCAATTATTTTGGTCTAGGGAATGTTGCGGCAAAGGAAAAAAAAAAAGCTCACGGTTCCCATCAAAATGACGGAGATACGCTGGGCTTAGCTCCTGGTGATGCCGGAAGGTCAGCATCTCTTGATATCGAGCTTTGGACGAGCCAATCTATTAGTCCCTGGCTTGTTTACCGTAAGATAGATTTTAACTCTGTATTGGGCTTTACTTCCCTTAGTCTTTTAAGCCTCTAGGTACATCACACCCACTTAGTCAAATTAAAAAGCCGCGTGTCTACGCATAAGCTTTGTTTAAAGACTTTTTTCCTCCCCATTTTGATACGACCACTCTTCTCTAAGGGCAATAAATGCCGTGCGCCAATTAAAACAGCCACGAAAACCCGTCTTTCAAAGTAGGGAATTTGAAAAATACAAAATGAGAGACAGGAAAGCGCCTCCTCTGGGACCTGGAGGGGGGTGGATGCGGGAAAAGGATGAGCCTTCGCATGTGAGGATCGGGGAGAAAAAGTCAGACCGGACTTTAGGCTAAGGCCGGCGTGTTCGGTTCGTCTTTGAAAGTCTCCCGGGTTGAGAAGGGCACGGGTCGAATCCGGACGGGAGGCGATCCGGGACGCCGCCTCGGCATCTCGTCGCGACTGGGCATTGTGGTCCCCGTCGAGGCAAATCAATTAAAGCAAATATCTCAACCCCTTGAATGCTCCCTGTTCTTATCGAGGGGGCTAATTACCGCTATCTGCCTCCTTCTGCCGTCAGTAGGATTATTAGGTTAATCGGAAAGCTCTCGCTCGATGGGGCTTTCGCTCCGCGTCGGGGAAAAAGGCTGTTATCGTCTTCCAATGACACGATGTCGGCGACAAAGCGAATCAGAGTTTGTGCTCCTTTGTCGTGCTAAAAGAAAATAACAGAAATTAGATGCGATTTACTTTTTTTGGGGGGCTGGAAGTGGTCTCTTTCAGCTGCTTTACACGCTTGACCTAAAAATGTGGCCTGGCTGAGTGGCAAGCGCCATCCATTTTCCAAGAAAGACGGGAACAATTCCCCGGGAAAGTGTCTAGTAAAGCTGCGATTGGCATTCGGGATTATCGGTGATGAGAGGGACTGGGAACCCAGAGCTTCAGATGCTTGGTGGAGAGTTCCGAGGGTGCCGGGTGGCTGAGAAAAATGTCTGGACTCTCTACACTCAATTCTGAATGTATCACCCGGGTGAGTGGCTTGGATGGGTCTAAATCCAGCATTGCAGAGAGCAACTAGTCTTTTTAAAGTTGAGGTTCAGCTATTTCAACTGAAAATTTCAAGAAAAAAAAAACTGAAAATCATTTCATGTTATGAACTGATATTTAATCAGTGCATAACCATTACTTTTAAAGGTGGGTTACATGGGAGACTTTTACTTCTATGCCAGGAAGGGGGATTTGAGAAAGCCTCAGCTTGTTACCTGGCAACCTTGTGGGCGAGGGACGTGTAGCTGGCAGTATGTTTAAAATGTCTCTGATCAGGCCTACTGAGAAAATCCATCAGCTTGACTTGAGTGCTTTCGACGTTTGGACCTACTAGGAAGTATTTCCAGTTGTGTGCGTGTGTGTCTTTGTGCGTGCGTGGGTCTGGCATGTGGAATTGTAAGACTGTTTTGCACATTTTAAGAGGCAAAAGACCTTCAGGGAGCACCATGATCAAAAGTTTTTAGGAAAAAAAAGGAAAAGATAAGTAAACAAGTAAGTACTAAAGGCCAGAAGTCAATGTAAATGTACTAAACAGATTTGAGGAGTTGTGTGTTGTTGTTTTTTAACCAAATAGCTGATCATGTTCGTCCTCATTCAAAAGTGGAATAGTTCAAATGTCAAAATGAACTACAGATTCTGCCAGTCCAAGGAACGTATGGAAAATAGCAGGACTTTTGCTAAGCTATCGTCGTGGAACGGAATAAATTATACCTAGTTGTACGATGAGATCGGGGAGGCATATTTATCTGTGGGTGTCCCAGCTCTCACTCGTCCCCTCATCCCACTCCGACACAAAAAGCGGAGTTTAAAAAACTACTTATTTGCTCCCACCCTTTGTGCCCGCCCCCGCCAGGGTCACGCTGGCACTCTTTGGCATATGAAGGGCTCCCCCCGGCTCGCTTCCTGCCTGCGCGGTGTCGCCCGGCAGGCCGGATGAATCCGGCCGATGCCTGGCATTTCCTGGGGAATGCGGCTGGAATGTTATCTGCTCCCAAACGGAATGCCTGGGTCAGTGAAATTCACCGGGGTCTGGAATGTGCTTGTCTACCGTAATGCGGGCGCGGTAAGCTTTCCTTGAACGAGGAGTCCGGACGTACATGCACACTCACACACTGAAGATTTTTTTTTTTCCTTCTATTTTTTTTTTTAAAAGCAATGCTAAGCTGGTTTGCAAATTCAGGCCAAATTGATAGCATCTTACCTACGCGCGGGATTAAACCGCTTAAGGAACCATTGAAAAGATATATATTAAAAACACTTCACAAAATAAGGCACTCCGATTTTTCCATTGTCCTGAATGCTTTGAGTCTGCAGGGAAGCAGAGGCAGACGGAGCCGCCTTATCCACCTCTGCATTGTCACAATGCTTCAAAGGCACGGGGGAGATGAAAGCCGGTGATATGAGAGAATCTGAAGATGGGACCTGTGATCTGTATCCTGCTCCTTCAAAGGGGAGAGAGTGAGAGAGACAGACGGGAAGAACGAAACGGGCACTGGCTATTGGTGCACGGGCAGCTATCCCACAATTCATTGTACCACCTTTCATTGGCTCTCTGGTTTTCCGAAGCAGCAGGCCGGTGTATAAATAAGACCTGCCGTGATTGGTGCTCCCATTGGGGCAATTTCCCTTAGTTTTTTTTTTCTTTTTCTTTTTAAATATAAAGATTCTTACTACAATGGAAGGCAGTAGTGGAGATGGTCCTGGTCTGTATTCCGGCTGTGTTCTTAAGATCTGGTGAAGAGGGTCGGCCCGCGGGGGGTCAGAACCTGTCGTCTCTCGGCTGCGTTGGGGACTTGAAGGGCTTGAGTCCCAGTATCCTGCGCGGGTGAGCCCTTTCTTTGGTCACGTCCAGAGGCCTGCTGCAGGCCGCCCAGCCCAGGTCGATGAGGGGCGAGTCGGCGGGGTTGATGGGCGCCACCCGGAACGAGGGCAGCGTGGGGGAGCCGTTGGCCGAGCACGGCGCCGAGCGGGAGGTGGGGAATGGCGCCGAAAAGGGGTCAAAGGGGGACGCCGCGTCCAGGCCGCTGGGGGGGTCCGCCTTGAGGGCGAAGGGGTCGCAGTCTGGAGCGGGGAACGGGTCGCAGCTGGTGAACGGGTTGGTGGGCGAGGGCTGGAACCCCAGCGGGGTGAGGTCCGAGCGGACCGGGCAGCGGCCGCCGGCTGAGTTCCTGCTGCCCGCTGAGATGAAGCTCCACGGGTCGATGCGGGGCCGGATGGGAGACGGGCGGGGCCGGGGGATGACGCTGACCTCCAGGCGGCGGGTTTTGGGGCTCCAGAGGGCGGGGTTGGGGTGGAGGGCGTAGGGCACCGAGGCCTTGTCCTCAGAGTCCTGAGTGTCTTGGCACAGGGGCAAGTCCAAAACTGTAAAAACAAGGGGGGGGGAAACCATCAAAACTTACAGCTGAGGGACCTAATTAATACAAAACATAAAATAAAAATGGAAGAAATGCTGTCATCCCTTAAACAAGGGAAATAATCTTAAAAACTCTTTTATCTTGCTTATACAGTCAGATTTTTAAACAGCAAAGGTTTAAAATGTGGTTGTATAACCCTGTTACCGTAACAGTCCTCTGCACCCTGAATTCTGCAATTCTAAAATGAAAAAAACGTCTAAAAAAATTCCATTAAACCTGGGTGCTGAAGCTGATCAAAGCCGAAACATGAAAGCTGTACATCACGGCGGCCCCGCAACCAAAAGGAAAACGTCGGAAAAAAAGGCACAATTACATGTGAAGAATGTCGATGCAATTAGTCTAAATTAAGTATCGCTCGGCGCTGCGCAAGCTAGCTGACGGGGCTGCAAACGCAGCAGACAAAGTGTAAATTAGCAGTGACAAGAACATTAAACTCGGAATAAATCACCCCGAATGAACATTCGCTATTTCCAAACGTGGCGCGTCTGCCAAATGGCATTATTTACATCAACAGCTACTCTCCGAGGCGACTAAGCTTTTCGGCTGACAGGAAAGAGCAATCGGGAGTCACAAGTGCAGCCGGGAAAAGAAGAGAATGAAGAGGAAAAAAAAGAGCCAAGGAAGAAAATTTCTCTGAATTGACATTGCTCAGGCGCACAATCAATGGTAGCACCTATTGGGTGGACTAGTCCTCTCAAGTCAATAAACTTAATCAGATGTTTAGCTAAAACACTCCCTCTTCTTCTTGTTTTGGCCCTTTGGAGTAAGTGTGAAAAACCAATGCACTGTACACGACACATGACCTGAAATTTTCAAAAAAGGAAAAAAAACAACATGCCACTTTTTAGTCTGAGTGGAATGAATGCTAATCCCTTTCTGAATGGGGTATTTCAACATTTTTTATGCCTGTGTCCCTCATAAAGCATATCAGATGGGTCTGTGTGCATTTAGCTCAAGTACATCTTTGTCAAAAAATCTTTGTCAAACCTCGGCTGTGTTTTGCATTCGTGTTTAACTTCGCAATATGAGAATGCTCTCTTCTCTGCCTTGAAAGGCTGAGAACAACAGACGGCTGGATGCTAGCTCTGCTTAGGAAGAATTAGCGGTGAGGAACGGAGGGCCAGCTGTTACCTGAGATATGCAAATAGCTGAGGAAAAGCTTTCATTTAAAGAAAAGACGAAGGGGGAAAAAAGCTCGAACAAAAAAGGAAGAATAATGCGTGCGGGAAAAATGTGCTTAAAGGAGGAATAAGGGAGGAACGCTGTCGTGCTTGAGGACGAACGAAGCTTGAGATCCAGACATTCCAACGCGTTCTGTGAGGAACTGCAGATGAATGAAGCAGCTAAATCAAAACCAAATCGGCTGCACAGGCCTAGGAAGAGCAGTTCTGAGACACAGTGCTGCTCTTTAATTAAAAAGGGACAAATACAGATTAGAACTGAAGCAGCAGATGCAAAAGCAGGAGAAAAAAAAAACCTTCAGCTCAGAAATTGGACACTTGGTATTCACTCTTTTGTGACCGAGTTTGAAATATAAAACGGATCGGAAAAAATATGAAATCAAACCAAACGAACCCAGCTGAGAAGCGTTCAGGCCGTGGCTGGACCTCCTCCTCCTCTCCGATCTGTGCTCCTGGACCTCGGAGCTGAACTCCCCGTTGCTGGAGCCGGAGCCGACCGTCCACTCCCCTGGTTGGCTGACCCCGTCCGGCGGCTGCAGGGGGTTCCCGGTGCTGTGCGGGCAGGGGGGCGGCGGGTGGCCGGCCCTCTCGCGGGGGTTGGGCGGGGGGGGAGGCGGCGCCAGGGGCAGCGGCTTCAGTTCTTGGTACTGCAGGGCTAATTCCAGGAGCGGCCTGGGGAGGGGCTCGGAGGTGGAGAACGTGATGAGGTCATCCACGACCGGGGGGTCTGAAACGAGGGGCTTGGGGAGGGAGATCTCCAGTTCGGAGAAGTGGCGGTCCTCTAAAGAGGGGAGGTTAGTTCGGGGGGGGACCCTGGGCGGGATGTCCAGGCAGCGGCCCAGCCCTACGGACGCCAAGAGGGAGCCGCCGCCCAGCAGAGCCCGGTGCGTGTTCTTGAACAGGCCGCCGAGGGACGCCCCCCCGGGCATGGGGGAGCCGGCCGGGGAGTAGCCCCCCTCCTCGATGCCCGAGTCTCCCTGGGAGGGAGGGAGGCGCAGGCTGTCCTTCGACGAGGAGCCTGCGGAAAAAGATGCGGGTTATGGGGAAAACAGCGACAGAAAAAGATGACTCAGCACATTTAAAAAATTTTTTTTATTTAATTTAGCTTCCGTTCGTGAGCCACGCCAGTGGCGGCTAACGGCAGGCAAGGGGCATAAGGTTAGCGGTACCGTTCTGGGCGGGCAGAGGGGTCGGGGTGGAGGGCCTGTACTCCTCGAAGTCGTCCCTGGACTCGCCGTTCTCGTTGCTGTCCGATTCCAGGAGCTTGGCTCTCATCGACAGGCTGAAAGCAAGCAGGGTCGAAATAAATAAATTCCCGAAAGGTTTAACTTTAGGAGAGAAAGCTCGGTGTCGACCCTACCTGCTATCCTGCGGACTGAGCCGTAGGACTTTAGGGCTTTTGGGGCTCTTTGGGCTCTGGGGCCTCCAGTGGGGGCTCAACCTCAAGTCGCCGTTCACCTGTTTAAGAGAGGGGCCTTCTAAGGGCCAAACCGAGCCCAGCCCGATGGTCCTGCTGTTGTCGCTGGGGCTCACTGCGGAGAGAAGAGAAACCGTGACCTCCGGTTTCCAGTTCACGGAGCCCAATGCGCTCCCCCCGCTAATAAGCGAGCGAAGTCGGAGCCAAAATTATCCGGCGGAGTCGATCATGTGGGCCTAATCTACGGCATGATATGATTTATGTCACACGTTTCGCGGAGCAGAATGTGCGAGGAGAGGGAGTTCAAATCGTCTTTAGACGGAACGGGAGGATTAAAGTCGAGATCGCGCCTGCCACGTTTGGCAGCGCGTCTCATCCTGCAGGTAATGCAAACTGTGTGGGCCTCCATATGTCCTGGGGATGGACGCTGGAGAGCTGGACTTTTGGAGGTGAAGTGCAATAAGCGGAGGGAAGCTCGCAGAGAAAGGCAAATGTGTCAAAAGTAAAGAATTTTAGGTGGGAAAATGTTAATTAAAGGCTGGGAAATTGACAGGAGATGTTGAAATTAAATACTTTAAACTGCCAGGCAGAAACAAATAGCACCTTAAAGAGGCAGAGTTTCAGAGTCGAATCAATAAGAGGCCTCACTTTTTTTTCAGAAAACCTGATACTCTTGGAGTGGGGATGAACAGGAAAATTGCATATTTGGAAAGGTGTCATCAGAGCCCGACAGATCAAAGCAATGTTTAAGATAAAAAGTGACCTCTTCTGTTGGGAGGTTCTCTTTTATACAGCATCCCATTCGTGGAATTATGAACGCACGATTTTAATGTGACTGTTTTTATATACATGCTGATGGCAAGCGGGAATTAATTCAGCCATCTTTGAGTTGTGTGCTACTCACCAATTCTGTCAAAATATTGTCTATATTAAAAAACAATTATTTTACGTCCGTTTTTAGGTTATGTTTGCATTGCATTTTCATCCAACCATTTTAATGCTGTTAAATCTAAATACATTCAGATAATTGGAAGATCTGCCCTGATCCAGATGCTTTCCTTCATATTACTGTATGTGGGGTGAAGTTACGAAGTCATTGGGGGAGAGGAAAACACCTGAAAATATACAGCGAGCGAGAGACTGGGTGAAAAATGCTCTCTGGCTTGCTTAAACCAATCCGATGCACTAAGTGGAGCCAGTTACAAAAGGGTGAAAGAGAATAGAGACCCCTGTTCCTCATCAGGGAACAGCTGCACTAATGAAGAAAAGCAATAGTGTCTTTATTCTTTTCTGTGCTGCATCCTAATAAAGGACTAAATTTGCTCTTCGCTGCGCCGCTCATTAATTTGTTGATGCTGCAAAGTAAATGTCACGTTGGTCTTTTTTGCCTTTTAAGACTATGGAATCTCAAGATTACGGGGGGGGGAAATCCATATCTCCAAGTCTAATTTCAGTCTAATTATAAAAGTAGCAACGCCGGGTGACTCCATCCATGTTTTTTAATGCAGTCTGTGCTTTAGAATTCTGTCCCTCTGGATCCCGAACTGAAAAAAAAAAAAAAAACAAGAAGTCTGCCACTGACAGAAAAAATAAAAGATGACTGAAATATCCAAAAAGTGCAGACACGTGTGACACAGCCAGACTGATTAGATACAAAAGACGCGTCCTTATCGCATCCCCTGGCGACATTAATTTGACTGTAAAAAAAAGGGGCAGTTTGAATTTCTCGTTATCTAATTTAGCAAGATTTGGCACAATGGAACGGAGCTCGGCAGACTAATGCAAATCAATCCGGCAGTTCTCAAGACAAATATGGTTTGCGGGCCCTCAAGATAAATCACTGTTTGATACCGAGAGGGCAAGCATAAATATCCGCTAAACACATTTTAATGACAGGCACACTCATGGCTTAGTGACTACCATTAAAGAGAGTCATTAGGAGGCAAAGAAAAACCGGTCTGCTATTTAATGGATAAACGACGCTGGCAGATGTTTTGGATTTACGGACCACTTTTACGGCCACATTTTTCACAGCGGTTTGTGCTTATATGCCAACCGCAGTGGTAATTGTTCAGTAAAAAACCCTTTCACTGCCCATTTCCCCACCACAAATTTCCTTCTGTTTTTTTTTGTTCTGTTTTGTGACCCGACGGCTGGAGGATCCCCTCTGAAGGAAGAGATCTTGGGCCGTTTGTGCGGGAGCCTGACAGGCAGGAGAGCGCTGTAAATCTCCGTGGCCGCTGCAAGCCTTTTTAACCTCTTCTCGCCGAGCCATGAGTTCCTCCCAGCTTATTTTTAATTCAGTCAGCCGCACTGTGGCTGCAGCATTCGTTTTTAAAAGCCTGAGAAGGGCGGCTGCATGGCTCCCCCTACTGGCGTGCTTTAGTAACTGCAGGGGCGAAGGAGGAGAGCAGGTCCACAGTGACAGAAAAGGGAAGAAAGAAAGAAGAAAAAAAAAAAGTGCTGAGCCGCTGAGAGGAAGTCAGATAATATTTGGACTGGAACAGACTATTGAAAAGGGAAAAGGGTGTGTGTGAGAGACTGAACAGGGAGGGAAGAGTGGGAGAAAGAGAACAGGGGGGGGGGGGCATGGGGAAACATGGGAAGACAAAAGACGTGTGGGTGGTTGAGAGGAACATGAAAGGGGAGAATTTTGGAATTGGAGAGATCTGATGTTGCAACAGAGGCTGTGTGTGCTGAAATTACTGAGAGATTACAAAAAATATATATGTCCGGAGGTGCGTGCAATCGTCCAGCAGAGGCGGGCGGGACATGTGTGGATGGCGCCGGAACAGGAGCACACTCACGTTGGATTGCACGGAAACGTGGCCCGAAGGAAGGTGAGGATCCCGAGCCCAAATCGGGAGAGTTCCGCCTCTTCTCCAGCCCAGGGGACGCTTGCACTGTAATCTTATGGATGAAATCTGCAACATAAAAACACACAAGTGATATGTTTTCATTCTGTTCTCGCAACAATGTCCAAACTAATCACATGTTTTGTTCTGTCATTCAGTCTGAAATTGAATTGTCTATCTAATTTCACTATTTTATTATCAGTCATTACTTCTCTTTGACGTCTTGCAACAGATGCTAAAGCACAGTGTGCACAGATACAATCCCATTAGCGCATAATGAACCCTGGCACGGATCAAAAAACGTCAAGCCGAGTTTGAGTAATTCAGCCGGGGGAGGACAAATTGGTAAACTGACAGCAAATGGTAGCCGGTCGAAAATCTTTGAGGTGACAGGTAATTAATGGGAAGATTTAACAGATTTCATCCCCTCGCAGTTGCCGAGCTCCATTAACCAAGAAAATTCAAGTACGGGCTGAAGAGAAATTGATGGCAAATATGGGCTCGGTACTAATAAAAGAAAGCAACACTGCCAATATTGAGCAAATTGCACAGACCATGGACATTCATAGGAAAATGGCCTAATAAGATATTAAGTGGCAGACTAATTCATGTTTTAGAATAATGACCCTTAAATCAAAGTGCACTGAACACATTCATTTGTGACTCTTAATGCCTTATTTCTACCCTTGGTTTTCTTAATTAGGTCTTTTTAATTAATGGCTTTTTGTCCTTTAAAGAATTAAGTATGCCTTTCAATTACTCATCTACTTTCATCTTAAAGAGGCACACTTTGTACCGTTAAAAACTGAAAAAAAAACCCCAAAACAAATGTGTTTTTTCTTGCTGGGGCAAAGTGAGTATCATGAAAATCACAGAAGTACCAGGAAAAAAAAAAGCTGAAGTGGCTAATTATGTTGACTGGCATTGTGACTTAGTAAAACACAAATTGTTAACTCAGGAAAAGATGTGTTGGGCTCGATAGCGAGCAGCAAAAGCCATTATCTCCTGTTTGTTTGTTAAAGGAGTTTCTAGTGAAGCAAAAGGGTTCATCAAACTGTGAAGAGTTTCTGGATGTTTAAAAAGTGAATGTCTGGGCTGGGTGAAACCTTTTCCGATTTGGTCATGTGATGTCTTCACCTGTGCTTAAAACGTGGCACGGCAGACGGCAAAGCGCTGGTTAAATTACCGATGCAACATGGTAAAACACGGGCGGCCTCGCGGCCCGTTTGCCACAACACTTCTTTAAGCGTTGCTCAATACAGTTCCTTCTTTTTCAGCCAGATGATTTCTCTTTTTTTTCCATTACCATCAGCTGGTATTGGCAGAACGAGTTCTCCCACTTCTCGAGAACTAAAGAAGTGCAGGAGCAACACAGGAGGAAGGAACAGATAATAATAGTGGAGGAAATAGGAAGGGGGAAAAAAAAAAAAAAGGAGGGGGATTCGGGCAGATACGGTTAAAGGAGAGTAAAAAAAAACAAACATTGGAGGACATCCCTAAAAAGACAGAGGGAGTCGGAGGCCCGGAATACGAGCGAATGAGAGACGGAGGGAGGCCAGTGTGTGCACGGACAGGAAGTGTCGAGGCGTGGTTGGCTCGCTCTCCCCGCTCATCAACCCCCCACGCCACTGCCACCACATCGCCGCCCTGCTGCTGCTGGGAAAGGCCTGACCGCGTACGCAAACACACACACACACGCACACGCACACACACACACGCACGCACGCACGCACACAGGAGACGGCGCGTTTACGCATGCTTGCTCGTCCCCAAAAATACACGGAAACACTGGATGGGAACTGCTGGCTGGCCGTGTGGCTTCAGTCAGAGCAGAGGACCCAAAAGAGGTCAGAAACTGGCACACACACATACACACACACACCTTGTGGCATGCTGATCTTCTCGCCGTTCTTGCTCTTCAGCTTGTGCTTCTTGAAGGTGCCTTTGCGCTTCTTGACGTTGGGCTTCTCCTGGTTCTGGTTGAGGTGGAGGATGAGGAGGCTGAGCTCGCGCTCGAACACGTCCTGCTCCCACTGGGCCAGCTGCTGCTCGCGCTGCCGCAGGAACTCCTCGTGGGACTTCTGCTCCAGGGCCGCTCGCTTCAGCTCCTCCTCGCGGCAGCGCAGCTCCTGGTAGGGGGGGGGCAGAGGGCAGGTTGGCGGGCTGGTACTTAGCTTTCAACCATGGATGACTGACTGACCTCAGGTTAATAGTCTTCCAAATATAAGACAGAAAAGATCCCCCCTTCTCTTTTTAAATCATCTTAGGTAACCATCTGGGCAAACATCAGAATCAGGTTAACAAGGAAAATGCTTGAGAAACTTGTTCCCATCCCAAGATTTATGACAAGCCAGACAAAAAAATAATCACAACAGAGAATGAAAAACCCCTTAGTGGGGTGCGGGGGGGGAGAGAGATCAACCACAAAAAAACACACAAAAAAACTGCTGCTGGTGATAAGATAAACAAAGCAATGGGGAAAAAGCTGAAATAATCTGTCAAAATGAAAATGGCCTGCAGTCTGCGGCCCAGATAGCACGAACGGACGCTGAAAAAGTGGTGCCCTGAAAATCGCCCCCCCCCCCCGAAATGTTCTTAAAACGGTCCTAATTCGTCTGAAGCATCGATCCAGGCTTTCTCTAATTACTTTGTTTATACAAGAGAATCGTATTCGTCGTATTTTTGTTTTGTGCACCTTATTTATGTCATGCTTTTGTCATATCGAGCAGAGCCAAGCAAGTTTTGTCATATTGTAGTAAAAATCAATTCAAAGGAAGGGAGTAATGCCGGTTTATCAAAACTCTAGTCCAGTTAGAGACGCTCAGATACCCTAACCCATTGTACTTTTATAATTCTAAGATACAAGCCTTCAGTTGAACTTGTTGGAAGAAAAAAAAAAACCTGTTTGGTCCCATTTGGCTCAGAGCTCAGCGGAGACAAAAGCAATCACCTGAAAAATGTCACCGGAGTGTGGCTCTTTTTTCTGGAGCTAACACGGTCTTATCCTGCGGGCTGCTACTTCCTGCGGGACCGGGGCTGTAATGGGCCGCTTTGTCTTCGCCTGACAAAGACGGTAACTCAACAGCAAAAGCTCCGAAAACTCCTCAAAGAGAGGCCGCTCGGGTGACTGCTGCTGCTCTAACTCACAGCTAAAAAACCAGAGAGGAGGCGCGCATTAACACAAAAGCCTCTTCGCGGACCATCTCTCTGCCTTGCTTTGGAATTGACTGAACTAATTCAATTTGTTCATTATTAGCTTAATAGTCTTGCTCCTACCCATTTAGCAGATTTTCTGGTGAGGGGTATTTTCATCATGGCTAAGGCCGAGAGAGTTAATACAACTTCACAGTTAAGCATGTAACCGAGTCTATCTTTGTTCACAGATTTTGGGGTGTTTTGAACTGCTGACCGCGTCCCACCTTCTCTTTGGCCCGGAGCTCGTCGAACATGTCCTGAATCTCCAGTTTCCAGTCCTCCTGCAGGGAGTGGAAGGAGTCCTGGGGCATCTCCTCCTTCACCTGCCGCTCCAGGGCTGTGAGCTGAGCCAGGATGGAGCTGAAGTTGGGCCTTCGGTGAGGGTCCTGGTCCCAGCACTCTGAAAAAGACAAGCAGAAATGTTTAGCTCTATCTATCTATCTATCTATCTATCTATCTATCTATCTATCTATCTA